GCTTCTTATCCAGTTCGTGCTTGCGCTCGCGCTCGCGCACGCGTTCCTGCTCTTCTTTATGGCGCTCGCGCTCCTGATCTTCCCTTTTTTTTTTTATATCCTCCCACAACTCCACGATCTCCTCGTCATCTCTGCTTGCCTCCATAGCCCTGATGACTTCCGCCTTTTTAAGATGTTTCCCGCAATCAATCCCGAATTCCCCGCATATCACGTCTAGGTCCGATCTGTGCAACTTTCTCCAAGCCATGGCTGCTACTTTTCTGCCGACAAGTTTCTCAAGGGAAAGCGTTGAAGCAAGGTTCCCGTGAACAGGCTTCCAACACTCTTGTTACCAGGAAGAACTAATTTAAGCCTGGCAACTCTCAAGGAGAAAAGGTCGTGCACTCACCAAGCCGGAGTCGAATTCCTGCGCAGATCATCTCACCGCTGCCATCCACTGTTGTGACTGGGGGAATTTGTCGGGCCTTGAGCCATCCAAGGGTCAGGGCGAAGACGGGCCGAGGAGCCGGAGCTGATAACTTGAACGATTTATTTACACTATTTTACATGATGTTGAAGGTAGCGTGTTACATGGAGTAAGCATCATACTAGATGATGGAAGGAAGCTCTCTTTCCGAGCGTCTTGCGCTCGCGTTTTTATGCCCCCGAAGAGAGAAAGTCACACCGCCTCCTTCCCAACCTGGGAAGGGAGGAGAGGCCCGCCCAGTTCGCTGCCCGGCGAGGGTGTAACACACACAATACACGACACCACTGGCACAGTGCGAGAACGGGGAGTCGGACGCGCCGAGATGACTCTTCGAGGAAACATCGCTCGGGAAAGGCGCCATGGAACGTGAGGAATGTCCCCGAAGATGAATACAAAGCGTTCGGCTCATTGTCCGCTGAATGTTGACGACCCAAGCAATGACCACTCCTTCTAGGCAGCCCAGACAGCGAACAGCCCCCCCCCCCCCGGTAATCTGTCGGTCGTGCGTGCCCAAAGGGCTTTTTGGCAAGACGAGCCGACGACTCCAAGGAATTCGCAGTACTACTGCTGTGTTGTTGCCGATTCTGGACGTCTCAGGACGCGCTGCGAAGCCGGAACCATTCCACGCGTCCAAGCGGCGCCCAGACATGGGGGCCGATCACAACATAATGCATGAAAAGTAAAAAAAAAAATGGTTCGAAATCTGCATGTTACATTGCAAATGTCGTTGAAATACGATAGTCTTGCGTCTGGAGAGAGTGAACAAGACATTTATTTGATGTTCTGCGCAAGAAAATTGGTGAATGGTGTTCTGCAGGCACTGCGTTAAAGTGCCTCGAGCGTGTAGCGGAGGCGAACGAGCGCATCGAGGCACATTAGACACAAGTGCCATCTGGCAGTTATCTTCGAAAACGTAGGCGTGCAGCCCGTGGAGAAAGATATGCGCTATTCTTGGAGGTGAGAAGGTGTAGAACGCAAAGCGACGGACGGGCAGGTGCCACCACCGTGACGTCGTAGCAAAGCGTTGGAAGCACCTTTTCGAGCATTGAGTTGCACTATCAACGCAGCGCGAATAAATGCTACATTCCTTAGACTGACTTGTGTGTGCCTCTTCTAGTATAAAGGCAGACATACAAAACATCGAAGCGTTGTTGTGGCGCCTCAGATATGCACAATAATTGCTTTTTAATTGACGATTGCACAACTATGAACGCTGAACCATGAGCAATATTGGTGGGCGCCGGTGATGGAATTGGCCGTTTGGTGCCGTTTAAGGTATCGTTAGAGCGGACAAACAGACAAATGTACAGACAGACAGACCAAAGTTTTGCTGTTGAAGGTCCCCAAGAAAGACTATTGTCTTTCAAAAAACAGCCTATGTCAGTGGCGTTGGTGGGTTCGTCTTGCTCTGCATGACCGCAGCAAGCTCAGTCATGCCAAGGACAAGCTCGGTCACCTTTTCCGCAAAATAGAGACGTGAAGTGCATATTTCGGGAGTTTAACCCACAGAGTGGGTTAAACTTCTGTTGGTTATAGCGTTCAGTTACGTGCGCCCCTATTGGTCCGCGGCGACCGCTTCGGCGGCAGACGCCGCAAAAATTGGTCCGAGAGCGATCGCTGCGGAGAGGGCCCTTTCGGTGGATCTCGCTGCCACCTCATCGGATTCAGTGCACTTTCAGCAGCCGGAATGGTTAGTGTGAACGTGCGTTAAAAGGCATGTCAGTGTGAACGTGTCTTAAGGGCTGCAGAGCTCTTTTGATTAAACGTAACGCTAAGCCTAAAAGCTGTAACGCGGGTTGGTGAGTGCATCACTGATATAATGTGTCCTGTTTTGTTTGATATGTTGCATTAACTTGTAATAGTACACTTGATTTGCCTTTAACATAAGTACTTGATAAAAACAGGCTGCGCTCTGAAGTTCTGCACTCACCAACCCGCGTTACAGCTTTTAGGCTTAGCATTACGTTTAACCAGTGTTTCGGTTGGCTGCCGTTCTGCAGTGTGACTGGTGTACTTCGTTTTCTTTCTATTATCTTTTTTTGCAATAAAACTGGCCTCTGTATGTTCGGCAGTTTGCTTGGGTGGAGATTAATTTCTTAGCTGCGCTGGGTGAGTTGCGAAGCGAGGCATGCGGCAATTGCAAGTTGATGTATTATTGGGAGTTCTATATCGATGGTGATGACCTACATTATAAAAGAACAGGCCAACGTTGGTCGTAATAGTAATGCGTGGTTGCTCGTGTGGAGAGGCGTTATCAGTACCATTCGCTCATCACTTAGTGCCATACGCACGCACTTTACGAAATAGTCGGTGTGGCGAGGTTTCTTGGTTCTCGCGCATCACTCTTGAAGTTGATCCCGAACGAAGTGGATGCGAACGGCGGTGCAGCGCACTTTTTTGTTTGTTAAGAGCTTGCAGCACACTTGACGCTATTATGTTAGGCTATTCTTCCAGCGAAGGTCCACTGTTGCGTAACTACGATTCTTGTGCAATCACAATTTTTGAATTTTTTTTAGGGTGATGCTTTTTTTTTTTGGTAAAATGTTTCCTGGAAACCTAGTCTTTAACAAAACCTATTTTACATATTTTTTTAAACATGTTTGTTATTAGGCTATTACGAGGCCTAGATAGATCACGGGGTATGTAAAAAGGTAGTGAAGTTCATACTTAGTGATAATCTGTTCAAAGTCTTTCTTCAACATCTGTTTCAGTGTTATGTGTATTTTTAGCCAATTGAAATATGCACTAATGCACCCATGTTGCTAAAAATTTGTCTTTTCAAGCTCCCAAGATGAGGTATTAAATGTCACTAACTGCTCCAAAGCAAGGTTTTCCTCCTTTAATATAAAAGTTTCCAAATTGAGTAATTTGGTTCCTTTTTGACTGAAAATTTCATTGTATTATGCACTATTTTACTCCCGACTAACTTACTGCATATTAATCTGGGGCACGACCACACAAAAAAATTATAAGAACCTGATTGTATTGCAAAGAAGAGTCCTACGGGCATTTGAGGGTTATCGTGGACCTTTTCAGAATTTCAGAGCACAGCCTGTTTTTATCAAGTACTTATGTTAAAAGCAAATCAGGTGTACTACTACAAGTTAATGCAACATATAAAACAAAACAGCACACATTATATCAGTGATGTACTCACCAACCCGTGTTACAGCTTTTGGCCACACCATCTGGAAACACCAAAAGTAAGAACGAATTATTGGAAACAGTTACAAAGTTACCAAGCACCTTCACTACTCACTACATGAAGCACCTTCACTACATGAATTTCACGACGAAGTTATGGAAGAATGAATGAATCATTCAAAACATTGCCCACTCCACACAATATTGAGGTTGTCTGACAAAGCTGCTGTGTGTATTTTCAATTTCTGTGCCTTAATTGCAAATTTTAAATGTTGACTGGGGTAAAATGACCTATCACTGTAATATGTTGCATTTTTTGTTGTTGTTTTTGTGCAGACATAGCATTTTTATTCTCGCTTTTCTACTTTTTTGTACACATGTTCTTTTATTTTTGACTATTCAGTCGAATATGTCTGTATTGACTTGTGCTACGCACGGCCTGCATGCCGAACTGTTGTAGGAGCAGAAGCTTTTGTCAGGCCACATGGCCTTTAGTTTCCGCTTCCTTTCTGTTATAAACAGAAGAAATAAAGTCAATTCAATTCAAATTCAAAACTTTTGCTGCTTCAAAAACTGCTCCCTATTTAGATTCAGCCCTCTCACCCCTGATATACACTAGAGGGGACTCTGGCATTAGTGTCTATGGGAGCTGCAACGCATGGCGTTTCAGAGAGCATGGGAATGATGGATAGTACATAAATTTGCCTAATTTTTGTACTTAATGCTTCATTTGGCTTCGTATAGCTTCAAGCTGCATTATTAGAAAATGACAAACAGCAAATGTTCGGTGGTTATGCTTCGCCACCTACACCTTTTAGGATCACCAATTCAAATTGCGTCACGAAGTTCAAAATGGTTTGTTGTTTTATTTGAGACAAAACTTAAACATTACAATAAACAAAGCAACAAGTGCATTTGATGTCTGCAAGCACGAAGACTAGAGAAATTCATGTACTACGAATCATTCCCATGGTCACTGAATGATCACGGCGCCAGAGTCTCCTCTAGTTAATTTTAGGAAACTCTATGAGCCAAGTGGCCTATATGCAGCTTTTATCCCAGCATTCTTTGCTATATATGTTTGTTATGTAGCTATGGGGCAATAAACATTAAAACTTGGCTCAGTTCTTGTGAGACCATGATGTCATGCTGGTCAGGTGAACTCCAGTCCTTTTTAAATTGCCTTACTTGCTACGAATTTTCATATATTAGTTGATAACTTCACTTCATGTCTCTTGTCGCAGATAGTTTGTGCATGCAAGTATCGCTTCCCATATAGTCTTTCCACGAAGCCAGTGCATCTACATTCTGAGTTGACAAAGCATTGTTGATTAGTGCTGTGGATTGATGCTGCGGATTTTGTGATTGACTCTTAATCTTGCCTTCACAGGGACATCAGCAAAGGCAAGGAGCGACATCCCATTGAATGTGTCAATGGAGTTGATGATGAACCTGCTCCTTCTGATTTCCTATACATGACTGAAAACTGTCAGACAGCTCCTGTTCCCGTGGACCGCAACATCGCTACCATGCAGGTATTTGTCCCTCATCAAATTACATGGCGAATAGCAAGCAGGTGACGTTCTGTTTTAACAGAGTATATGTACTTGTGTCCTTTCTCAGCAGTGCGTATGCTGTCTTATGTTCTGTGACAAAATGACTAAAAACAAATGTCCGAATATTGTATTCATTTTTTCTCTACTGTTTCTCTCTCCTTGGCAAGTATCAAGCAACTGGGTTCATCAGTGACAATGGCCTTTTAAGCACTAGCCTGCAGACACTGCAAGACATGCTGTCTAGATGTCAATGCTGTGTTAGTTAATCCCCGTCTTCTTTGCACACAGCACTTTTTCCCTTTTTTTTTTCCACTATGGACAAAATCATACAGTGGAACGTAAGGGGAATACTTAGAAAATTAGATGACGTCCAAGAACTTCTGTGTAAGTTTAACGTGAAAGTGCTATGTGTGCAAGAAACGCACTTAACTACTAAGCACAAGGACTTCCTACGACAATATATTATTTTCCGAAAAGACCGGGAGGATCCTGTTGTACCACCTGGCGGTGTAGCCATTATAGTCGATCGTAGTATAGCATGCCAGCATTTGAAGCTCCAAACGGCCCTGGAGGCAGTGGCCATTCGAGCTGTACTTTTTAACAAACTTATTACCATATGTTCTGTGTACATACCACCACATCAACAGCTACACAGACGTGATCTGGAATCACTAATAGATGAACTCCCAGAGCCATTTCTGGTTCTAGGTGATTTTAATGCACACAATGTCCTGTGGGGCGATGCTCACTGTGATGCGCGAGGACGTCTCATTGAGCAGCTCCTTTTCTCTTCTAGTTTATGTCTTTTAAATATGAAGGAGCCTACGTATTTTAGCCTTGCAAGCAACACATACTCCTCCATAGATCTTAGCATTTCATCACCGTCCCTTTTACCTGTTTTTAAATGGAACGTTCTTAAAAACCCTTATGGGAGTGATCACTTCCCAATCATCCTGAGTGCGCCGAACAAAGATCAACTACCCCCGCAGGTTCCTCGATGGAAGATTGAGTCAGCTGATTGGGAAGGGTATAGAACTCTTACACACATGACATGGACTGAGCTGTCTGCCCTGACCATAGATGACGCTGTCACGTATTTTACAGCTTTTATACTTGATGCCGCATCTAAATGTATTGCCAAAACGAGTGGCATGTCTTCTAAACGGCGAGTCCCATGGTGGAACGACGCATGCAGGAAAGCACGGACCACTCAGAACAAAGCATGGGCGTTGCTTCGCGATTCCCCTACAGCAGAAAACCTGGAAAATTTCAAGCGGGTCAAATCGCAGGCACGGAGAACGCGTCGACAAGCTAGACGAGAGAGCTGGACAAAGTTTATATCGAGTATCAACTCGTACACAGATGAGGGAAAAGTGTGGAATAAGGTAAAGAAAATTAAGGGCCAACGAACGTATTCTCTTCCACTAGTAAATAGCCTCGGGGAAAGCTTGGAGGATCAAGCCAACTTTCTTGGCACACATTTCGAACACATATCGATCTCCTCACACTACTCCGAATCCTTCCAGAATTACAAGGCACGAATAGAAAAACAAAAGTTAGAAAGAAAATCCCCAAGAAATGAGGCATATAATGCACCATTCTGCTTAGCAGAACTGCGAACAGCACTCAACTGCTGTAATACATCTACCCCAGGTTCTGACAACGTAATGTACGCGATGCTGAAGGAACTACCCTCCGAAACTAAAGAAACCCTCCTCTCTCTTTATAATCGCATATGGTTTTCAGGTGTGATCCCCTCCTCCTGGAAGGAGGCTGTTATAATTCCAATTTTGAAGCAGGGAAAGCATTCCTCTACTGTACCAAGTTACAGACCTATAGCGTTAACAAGCTGCCTCTGTAAGCTATTTGAAAAAATGATTAATTGCCGCTTACTCCACTACTTAGAAACAAACAATTTGCTCGACCCATTTCAGTCCGGGTTTCGAGAAAGTAGATCCACCACAGACCACCTTGTTCGTATTGAGGCACAGATCAGAGACGCCTTCGTCCATAAACAATATTTTCTCTCTGTGTTCCTCGATATCGAAAAGGCTTATGATACAACATGGCGTTTTGGAATTCTAAGAGACCTGTCCCACCTTGGTGTGCGCGGAAGAATGTTTCACATAATTGAAAGTTACCTGTCAAACCGAACATTCCGTGTCCGTGTGGGCAGTGTTCTCTCCCGAACATTTGTCCAGGAAACAGGCGTGCCACAAGGTGGTGTACTTAGTTGCACACTTTTTATTATCAAAATAAGTTCCTTGACTTGTCCCCCCCCCCCGCTACTTTAGTACCACGCATCGCCCGTGGAAGTCCGCATTTTCACACCGCCACCGTTCTTTGAAGGACGGTTGGCAACTGTTTTCCTCAGCTTTGATGTGTGTTTGTTACACTATCATTGGCGTCGCCGGCCTGGAGTGAACAGACCATTTGCCAACAGTTGCCATCTACTGTACCCGAGCGTCTGTGTCTTGTCTGCATTGCTGTCGTACCGTTCCAGTGCATGTGCTTGCGCTACCCCATCAACATTGATAAATTCGCGATTCGTTCCATGTTTAGAACCTGTTCTCGCTCACTTCGCACCCAGCGACGCTTAGATAGAATCTCATGTATGCGCATATTGCCTATTCTGCAGTCCCCAATATAAAAGGCCGGTTATGATGCGGTTGCCAAAAAATCTTTGTGACAAACGTGCTAGCGAGGGCGCGTCTGAAAGGAGGAGTGCTAGGTGCGCTTCTGGGGAGCAAGAAACGAAGTCGTTGCGGAGACAAGGGGATGTGGAGTGAACGAACAAGAGGCATAGGGAAGAAAAAGAAAAGGAAACAAAGACCCCGGCACACTGTGCAGCCTTGCTGAGTAAAGGAGGAGGGCGGTTGCCTCAGCGCCGGATAAGCCTTTGCACCGGTGCCGATGCTGCTTCATTGTATGCGTCGCTAGCATGGCTCTGGGTTGGTGCGGTTCATCAGGGCACGGTGTGATCCTGTCCTTATCAACTGCGCTTGATAGTTTCCTGTCGGAAAAAACGCCATTATTGAGCTTGCTATACAGATATCATGTTCTCTACTTTGTCCATAAGTTTAATACCTTTGGCGGCTTTGTGATGCGAGCTTTCGCCTTTTGCTGCCAGTATGTGGTCTTAGCTTGGCAGCTTTTCGTCGTCTTTGATCTCTTGGCCGCTAATGCAAGTTTTGTATTGCACACCCTGTTTTGGTTCAGTGCTTTAGTGCAATCTTCTCAACGCTGGATCTTCATATCCTGAAAAAACTTCCCATGACAATGTACCGAAAGGAAGGCTAGGCCTTGTTGGCGTTGGTTGTATTTCGGTAGCAGTCACGTGTTATTTATAGGTCGCGGTTTAGTACAGAATCAACGAAACTCTTTGCGGTGGCTGCACTTGAGGAGAAGGGATTCATATCGCTAATGGAAACGAGGGTTGCACATGTAGCACTTAAGTAGTGGTTCGTAGTTATTTGAAATCGGGTGCACGTCCGTGAAATCAATGATCGGCGTCTTACAGGGGGGGAAATTTTGGACGTGATTCGACATAGTTTTTGTGTAATGCGCACAATCGAGGCAGTCTGAGAAGTAGTCAGCGAATTTCTTTTGTTTGATAGCACTGTCATTCATTGGTAGAGCAAGAGTGCTTTTGCTGCGCCGAGAGCAGCCAGGAGCAGTTTGCAGTGCCCTCGCCTGAAAAGCAGAGTAGGCGCAGTACGACGAGTCACGTGGTCCTTGAACGTCACAGCCTCCGATTTTTCTTCAGCCGGTGAGCATGGTGGTAATGGTAGCAACCATGTGTAATTTGACAGCGCTGTTTTGTACGGATGGCTACAATGACAGCTGGACGTTTCCGAATGAGTCGTTGCACAAGAATTCTAGGTATCAGAATAACGGAAAATATGTGGCTGACTGATCTCACGGGTATTTTGCTGCTGCCCCACAAAGAATATGCCGGGCTTGTAATGTTTCAGTCACATGGCCTCCCTACTCGTCACCTTCTCAGCTGCCCTTCGGGAGCGGCGCATTCCAGTGGCAGGTTGAGTGGCCCTGCTCTCAGTGCTCTGCCCCCACTCCTCAGTGTCCTGTCCCTCTACTCCTGTTCTCTCAATGGAATTCGCCATTAACAGGAGCCAGCAAAAAGTTAGCGTACGACGACAGTATTGGGCTGGTGGCCATTTAACATAGGAGTGTACGCAGTTGCCTTCTGACAAAATAAAGTTTGCATCCATCTCAGTCCTAGCAAGTGAAAGGCCCAATGCGTCTTGGTAGCTTTCAGCAGCCGTCACCAAAAGCGAACACGAAACTTGCGACTCCAAAGGGCCTACCGGCAGCCCTGTTGCCATTGTTTAGTTCATGATCAATCACTTTCTACTTGAAAGCAGCCGTGTAGCTTTCGTATCGCCCCATAATGTAACAACATTAAGGACACAACGCACAAAACACGCCGCAACGTGCACTTGCCACTTTGGCTTGGCTTGGATAAGATTGGCTCTCGGTGCAATAATAGTACGCTTTATGCTTAAGAGATGCCACCAGATGGTGCACGCTGTCATCATCAGTGGCTGGAACGAGCAGACGACATTACTGTGGCAATTTTCAGTGGTGCAATAATTACTCGTGAAAAAAAAAAAGAAATCGTATTTTTCTTGGGCGAAATGAGGGGTGCGAGAATTATGCGAGTGTAAGGATTACGCGAGTCAATACGGTAGTATAATATGGAGTGATGAAGGGAAGGGAGGGTGAGGAAGGCTTAAAGGATGGTGGGATAGGGTAAAGCGTAACATAGCCACATATAGTATAACTACGGCCGCTCGGGTCTCCTTCTTTCGTGTGGCCTGCTGAATGCTCCTCTCCACCTGTCAGAGTGCTAATTCCCCTTCAACCCGCTACATTGGCTATAGAGCTAGCTATCGGTGACACAGGTGTTTCTCCCAAAGCTTCCTTCAGCCACAGTGAGCTATCTGCATTGGTAGTTT